CAAATCCTTATTTTGACTCGACTTCCATTAGGACTAAGACATTTTCATCAAACTTGAATCCAGAGTATACTAGAAGACATTCCACTGAGTTCGGACGTTTAGACCGGTCCTTCGGATGAGACCGTATAAACCAAGGTCCCTTGTCGTAGTAGGTGCTGGCACGAAAAAGATCCCTCACTGCTCAATGGGCCTAAGTGCCGAGTATAAAGGTCAAAATGCAGCTCTCCACCGGCAAGCGGTGGCGTCTCCATATGAGGGAAAGAGGGACATTAAACAATAAACCAAAAAAAAAAAGAGTTTTAATATTTCACAAACAATAAATGGTGATTTACATACCCACCACTTAAGAAGCTGCGGGGGGTGGGGGGTGGGGGTATATAGTGATGGTGTCCGTCCGTACCTTCGCTACGCTTGGGGGTAACAATAATTTGTTTCGATCAGACACATATTTTGGGTTTCCCATAGCAAAACATGGGCATTTACATTCTTTCTACAACATTGGGGGTACGCATCTCTTATCCACAACTTCTCCTATACCACTTAATAAAACGGGATAGACTTTCACAGAATCTTTATTAAAAAGTGCCATTATGCATCTCCTAGTACAAGTATTTTATGTCTCAATCTTACAGATATTTGGGGTTTCTCCTAAGATAACATGGACACTGACATTTTTTCTATGATATTTGGGGTACCCATCTCTTATCGAACACTCCTGTTATACCAATGAGACTTTCACAGAATCTTTATTACAAAGTGACATTGTGCACCCCCTATCTAAAATTTCGATTGGAAAGATATTACGGGTTTCCCATAGCAAAACATGGAGCTTGCCATTTTACTCATATGGGTGGGGGTAATCATTTTGTGAGCACAGTGCCCCCCAGTTTAATCTAAAGCTAATATCCAAAGTTCCAAATTCTTTTAATATACTCCTAAATGCATATATTTTATATTTGGTATAACAGGTTTATGCTTTTGGGTTAACATTTCAGATACATGTATATATATATATATATATATATATATATATATATATATATATATATATATATATATATATATATATATATACACACACTGTAGATCACTTTTTATTCGCGAAATTTTATTTTCGCATAAGTACGCAAGACTACCTACTCGCAAAAAATTGATTCTCGCGTATATTTGTACATGTAGTACAAAAGATTATATAGAATAATAACCAGAGTTTGTGGAAATTATCGCTTATAAACACCAAATAGTCATCTCGCAAAATTAAAAGTATCTCGAAAATTTGGTGATCTTCAGTATGATATATATATATATATATATATATATATATATATATATATATATATATATATATATATATATATATATATATATTCTAAACATGCTTGTCTTTCTATATTACATGTATCATACAAAAATGGGTAAAATTACTTAACAGACTTGCTACAGTAAAAAAACATGATACAACATTTCTAAATTTCATAACGTCAGCCAAAGTTCTAATACATATCAATGATGAAACAATACGTGGGGTAAATTAATGCTGAAATTAATGCTGAAATTCATCAAATAAAAATCGTTGTTAAAAGACTGTTTTTTGGTTACACAAGCAATGATAACATGCTTCTCTATATACCTGATTCATTTCGCATCTCCTCTGTGCACATGATTTTTCCTCCGTCTATTTGTACACAACTGCGTTCTGATTTGATGTGTGTGCAGCGGTTTAAAAAGATGTGGAATATTATTATATTTAATTGATTCCTCTTTATCTTTTGCCCTCCATTAAAATTCCATATAAAATTCCAGAATGACATTGTACTTTTTTAATATTCATGTTGTAAAACATTATATCAGTAATTCTCGATGCTAGGAATTTTATTTATTTTGTCTGTTGATAGACCACTCCTTAAGTCCTGCTCTTAAGATTTGGGTATATCAACTTCTTTGACCATCATCTGGATTGTTTGTGTGTTTGTGCTTACCATTTTGCAACTGTTTCTACAATCATTGCAAAGGTTTATCTATAACGTGTACTGTTTATCCTTTTTATATTGTTTGTTCGTTGACCTACTGACAAAAACCATTACAAGACTTTTGTACAAGTATTGGTGAAGGGTCTCGAGCTTGGAAGTCATATTTTATTTCTGGCCTGTTTTACGAATGTTACAAAAAGAGAAAAAAAGGTTATGCTTAACACTATCCTGATCTTCAGATGTAACATAATTTTAATTCAATATCATATTGCAAAGATCAGTGCTAATGAGGCTTTGAGATAAACGTTTTGTCGTATGTATATTTTGCGAGCACAGAAGAATTGCGTCTTTACGAGCTGTTAAGTTTGCTTGATTTGTGTTTCCCGACAGCTTAATTGTAAAAAAAAATTAGTCATACAGCTATTAAGTCAGTATCATGGAGAAAAATAATCATATTGATTTTGTTTGCATGGAGGGGGACAACGTTTAGATCGAAAGGTTGACCGATGATAAAGATGGGAAAGACTAAGATCTTAGGGTTGATGTTGACCTTGTCATTAGATGTGTTGCGAGTTGAATAAAAGTCAAGGTCAAAAGGCTAATGACCAGGAGTATGATTCGAATGGGAATTCTTTTTCAAATTCAAAGAAAACAGAAAAAATAGCTATGTTATTTTGTTTCTGAGTTTGTTATTTCAACCACTAAAAAGAAACACTTTATTATTGTTATGATTTAATAACTCTTTGGTGTATCATTTCAGTTGTTACGTCAAAGAGCTTATCCGACAGATAAACAATGACTCAGAAGCAAGGAAAGAAAGTTTCTTTTATGTAAGGTGATTTAAACCCTACATCTGAAATCAATTAATCTTACAAGAAAAATACTAAGATAATAACACAATTATTAGTTTCCTTTTTTTTATGAAAGAAAATATATCCCGATGTAGGAGTAGTATATGTTGCAGGAAGAAAGTATAATCGGGAAGAAGAAGGTATGGTTTGGGCTTTATTTTGCCCTTAAAATTCGTTTTTTTTCTAAAAAGTTATGAAATTGGCTTAAATATGAGTAGAGTGTATGAATGTGATAATTCATGAAAGAATGTGGCACGAAGGAGGACTATTCTGGAAATATGATGTCATTTATTTGATGAATTTCTAAGTTTTTAACAGAAAAAGTCTAAAAATGACACATTTACGGAGTTTTCTTCCTTTAGAAATAATAGATATTCTCTTAATTTTAGGAATTTCAAGGATATCCAAATAACGCTGATTTCATGTTACATATACATAGCACAAGGAAAGTATATTTTTTTTATTCTGATGTAAGAATTAAAAATAAAGATTAAAGACAAGGAAAGAACAGTTTATGGTCCTTGAGAGTCACCCAAGTATTATGAATGTTTCAGGCAATGGCCAAATCAGCCACATCAGATACATACACGCTCAACCATGTGAAAAGACCTTCTTTTTTTTTTTTTTTTTTTTTTTTTGTTTTGCGCGACGACTTTATTATTACATTCAACGACCTTGGTGCTTATTTCCTAGGGAGGGTCTTAAAAATATAGATAATTTTAATACATATGATCAACAAATCCTCACCTTGGGCTTTTAGCCTTGGAACACAAAAATGAATTTTTGGAAAGGACCAATAACCTGTTATTGTCACCATTTATTCAGTTTGCTTTTTGTCTGGGCATAAATATATTTTCAAAGGTTTAAAAATATTTCAATATTTGATCAACTCACCCCAAACCTGTAGCCTGACCTCGAGGGCCATGAATTTCACATTTTCGAATGTTTTGTTTGGTTGTTGTTTATCGTCCCTCTCAAGAATTTTTCACTCATATGGTGACGCCACCACTTGCCGGTGGAGAGCTGCAAATTTTGACCTATACTCGGCACTCAGGGCCATTGAGCAGTGAGTGATCTTTTTCGTGCCAGCATCTACTGCGACACGGGACCTCGGTTTACACGGTCTCATCCGAATTTGACTAATTTAGCCCAATTCAGGGGCTTAAGCCTTAATCAAGATGGTCATGAACTTTACATTGTTGGTAGATGTAAAAGAATAAGTCTATAAGCGTGCTAGGAGTACACAGAAGATTTTCGAAGACTAAATGAAATTTGATGTTTCAATCCCATCCCTCAAGCTGCAGGGGGCTGGGACCATGCAGTTCACAAATGCTGCATACTGACATTGGGTGAAGGTGAATTCAGTCGATTTTTAGAAGCTGAAAATGCTGAAAGTTTTCAAATAATGCGCATTTAGGAATAAGCCGGCTCGATGACTCAAGTGACCTAGATGTATCTTAAGGTAGGATTGTTTACAAAGATGTATGATTATGTATCCTGAGGAAAGAATTGTATCTTTTGGTTTCTAAAAAAAACTATACACACTAAAAAAAATTAAAATTATGAAATTTAGTTTTTTAATGGAGTGAACACCTGTACAAGTTGTCATTAAGATTCTGCAAAAATAACTATTGTTTTAATTTTTTACAATATTAAAACATCCAGAGAATTTGCAAGAGAATATTGACATTCAAATGACCATATTTTGTTGACTTGTTTTAATGCCAGCTTACTGTTAAATTGGAATGGTATTCCTGAATGGAGCGGACGAGGGCGAGGTGAATACAGTGTTTCAGGAGTAGCTAAATGATCATATTGACCGTACACAAGTCAAAAGCTATTTTTATGATATGAACACACTGTTGTAGCTCATTTTCTCATTAATTCACACCCATGAAGAGTAATCAAGTCCCAAAATGGTCCTATTTGAAGTGTCAAACTACTGCGTCATAATTTTCAATGATCCAACCAGGGGTAAAAGAAGACCTATCATTTATCTACTTGTGTTATATGAAAGAAAAGAGAAAGAGAAAGAATTATCAGGAAGAATTACATTAGACCGTGAAGATAAGGAAAGAGTGAAAAAAGAATGCATTTATGTAAGTATATTAGCATGACAAATATAAGATACAAGAGGCTACAAGATACCAAACGCTTTTCAGCATGCTGTACCACTCACCTCCTGTGGGACCCGGATGTCGAACAATTATATCTGCGATACTGACTTGTCCAAACATGGACCAGAACAAGCTGTAGAAGGTCTGGCGTAAACTGTAAAACATAACGTAAAAAGTAAGCTGTGACAAGTAATGCTGCACAATAAGGAAAATAATTTGTAGATAATTACCGATCCCCAGTAGAAAGAAAGTTTTAACTTTCCATATGAAATGGTCATCTACTTTCTTTAAAACAAATTTTGGCAAATTCAGAAGAAACTGAAATGATTGAATATAACGTTATTAGATCCACAGGCTAGTTGAAAAAATGATCTTAGGAATGAGATGGTGTATTTGAATTCGCTTAGAAGAAAACTCCTCGGTGCAATCATTATATATATATATATATATATATATATATATATATATATATATATATATATATATATATATGATATATATGGAGATAAGGAACAGTATTCAAGCTTAATGTCCATTAAACAATGCAATATAGGAGCAGAGCAAACACGGACCTCCAAAACATCAGAGGTGGATCAGGTGCCATGGAGGAGTGAGCATCCCCTGCCACCGGTCACACCGCCGTGTGCTCCTTGTCATGATCGGGAAATAACGGGAAAATCCGTCGACAATTCAGAGTGTAAATTATGGCAGGATCAGGTGCCACGGAGGAGTGATTATATATATATATATATATATATATATATATATATATATATATATATATATATATATATATATACGATTGTGTGTTTTGGGTGGGTGGGTGCGAGGGTGTGTGTATGTGTGTTATAAATCTATATTTTGATAGTGACTTAACTATTACGAAGAAAAAAAATGATGATGCAAAAGAGCGCTTTCCTATCCATATAATTTTAGTTTTACTAGATTTAGATAAAATTGAGTTAAACAAAAAGTATCCATCACACACGGTTTAGTGTGATAATTATTGATAAAAGTATTTAATCTTCATGATAATTATTGGCTGTTATAGAAGAAATGAAACATCCTTTGCTGTACACTAGTTACTGTTATCTAATATTGTCAAGAAAAGACGTCATTAATTGACAAGTAAAAACTCAGAATTCTTCATATTTATAATATTTCTTTATAAGAAAATCACGTTATATCTGCTCTTAATACTAATGATTAAATAAACAGTTTTACAACAGAATTTCTTTTTAAAAATAGCCATAGTGACCATGCCAGGCACACCCTTACTTTAGATTACGACTTACCCCTGAAAAGCTTCCGCAGCATGTACGTATACAGTTTTGTCATTCAAAACCATCTTGATTCTCTGAGCGCCGTAGTACCAATACAAGTTATGAAGGCCAACCATGAAGGCAAACAGAACCTAGAAAAACAGTACAGAAAATATGTTTTTATTCTCAAGGATAAAATTAAAAAATTACCTCTTCCTTCCTTTGTTGTCAAAGAAAATTTACTTGGGTTACCCACACCTAATTTTAAAAACTGAAATTCAGTTAAAAAATTGGACAAAAGATAAGAATGTGAGGAACAAGTTTTTAAAAAGGTCTACTCTTTCTTACAATTCAATTTACTGATTAAAAGTAATATAGATAATGTTTCTTCCTTAATACTTTCAAAGCTTACCAAGGTGAAGAGAACCATAAACCTTGTAATGTCACCAATCATACGGCCCAAGGAAATTTGTAGAGGCCCCAGGACCTCAAACGCGGGCATGAGGTAGGTAGTTCGAGCAAAGCTTATCACATTAGCAATGGCAAACAGCACATCTGACACGATTTCAGGGTCGTTCGGTTTCCAGTGAAACCGTGCTGTTAAAAACGTATGAAGTACAGTGTATATAACAAGCAAAGGAAACTACACTAGGCAATGGTTAAAAGTCATTTGAGAGATGAATCATTTTGGAACACTTTCCAATAAAACAAGGACATTTTTTTTTCTGGAGAGAATAATGTTATTTGCGAAAGAGTTTTATCTTTAAAAGCTTCCCCTTCTTTTAAATTTGGATGCAAGAGAGGAGGGTTTTTTTTCTTTAATCATAGATATATGAAAAAGAGGACGTGTTAATTGTATGACCTACGTCCAATAAATTTTTTATAAAACTTCAAAGATCGATATAAGTTTGAATGAACAAATGTGGAATAAATATTGTAAAAATTATTTAGATTATTTAGTACTTGTGAATTTTGGTACTAGTCATACAATGATTCCATTCTTTAAGAATAAGATAAAAGTATTGTACTTATTGTTGTAGATTTCATGATGATGTTTAACTGTATTTTATAACATTATAATACTTCAGCTGTTCTTACAGGCTTCCATGAAATAATTTATTGGTGCGTTCTTCGGACTTCTTATTTCATCTAGTTTCCAGTTAAAGTAGGTATAATTTTCCTGCCGGAGAAGATCTCTTGCAATATTTGTACCATTAAAATACCTGCAAAACAAATTATCCAAGTAATTCAGATGTAAAACACACATTTTTCTTTCAATTTTGCATTGTTGAAGGAGTCATACAACTTGATTTTCCTTTTATGTTCATTATTACGATAAAAAAATTGTAAGCTGTGACTACTTCAAGTGAAAGGGATGGGAAAGTATTTTAATTAGATACATGTATATGTGACTTAATTAAATACAGGTATAAGTACCGCCGTCTCTAAAACTCAAACGGTACGTGAACATGGAGAGTATAATAATGTAAAGAACAATACCAATAATTATTTGTGGTACGCCAAAATATCACAAAAGTTTTATAATTAAAGCTACACATGTATTTTTCGCTGGTTGTAATCTTTATGTATTGTTTAAGAATGCCAACAATATTTAACACATTCATTAACTTGAGTTTAGAGTTGTTAAATCGTGACTTTATTTATCAAATAACTGTGCTTAGTACTTGATAAGTACAGTTTAAACTTGTTAAATGTAGATTGAGGCGTAAACTATGGTAAAAATATCTTAAATATAAATAAACGTCGTGAATTATAGTTAACGCTTCCTGTACTCTTTGATTATAAAACTATGTTTAGCTAATTTCATGTGAATATGGCGTCTAATGGACATCACATGCTAATTTTTATGTACTAGTATTCCATATCAACCTAAGATCACCTTAAATATCATCCCTAGAACCGTCAATAAAAACTTACAAAACTTATACAAAGTTCCAAGCACAAAAAAAATTTACCTATCAGCTTGTGCTATTCTATACTCGGTAAAGAAACGGAGAACATATGAAGCCAGGTACATTGACAGCACACTAAAATCTATCAGCTTCTGATATACTGTGATATAGGCTTTTAATCCTGTACTGTAAAGTTGTTTACATTCTATCCATAATAAACCTGTAAACACAAACGTGACAAAATCAGAAAATGGCTACAAGAAAGTAATATTTAAAATCACTGATTTGATTTCATATCGATGGTGCAGTCTTTACCATCACTCAAGCGGGTCAAGTTAAATGGGGTCTCACAATAAGATGTTTACATAAAATAATTTAGCATAAACACTTTTTTGAATAATTATGGTCAAAATGTCTTGTAAAATCATATTGTCCTGATGCATTTACCTAAAATCCAGAAAACAATACATAGTTGAACATGAGTCAGTAAGGTATTTGCAGGCCTTAAAGTTTCTTTTAATAAACTAATAATTTTTTCTTCTTTGGACAGCGATTCGTATGTTGGATTATGTAGATCTGTTGTGGAAGTGATGGTTACGCCGCTCTCCGTTAAGCGGAATGTTGCAGCAGCCAGTAAGATGAGGAAGCAGATGTGTGACGTAGCATGCGTGATGAACTTTGTCACGGGACAGCGCATGACCTCTCCCGGCTGTAACAAAGCAAGCATCAAAAATAAATATCTTTACTTAATTTAAATTTCAGTAAAGACTCTACAATACAATAACAAGATTAAAGAATTAAGATATATTACAGTAAAACTTTTTTTTTCAATTTTAATGAGAAGTATTTTTAAGCAATTGCATATTAAGTTTAGTTCTCAAACAACTAAATTTTTCCCAATAGTGTATGCCTATAGTGGTTATTATTAATATTTCACATTTCTGCGAATGCAAATAAAACGATGACAAGTTATTTGATCTATCTGGCCTCTCGCGCCAAACAGACTACGAAGTTAATTCATCAGCAACTCGGAAACTCTACTTATCAAAATATGTTCGATCGGTTATGACAGATTTGTGTTCTTTGAGCATCGAGTATTAGGTACTAGTGTGTTCCTTACTGACAGACGTTATCCTGCTACGATATGTAAAAGTCTACCAATTTATTTGAATGTCTAGTGTTTGTTGAGTCACTTTTATTCTCAGATCACCTATATTTTATTTCATCTTGTCAATTCACATATTTCTTATGTACTTTTCATTTAAATACGTTTAGTTTAATCTTCATTTGCCTTGGACTGATGATAAGTTTTCAACTTTCGCTTACTTTTTTTTTTAAATTTCTTAACAAGCAGCTTTTATTTAATGTTATCTAAAAATCAGTCTTCATTTAAATGTATATTTTGCTCGCAATAAACAAAATATATGGATACACTTGGGAATATATATATATATATATATATATATATATATATATATATATATATATATATATATATATATATATATATATATATATATATATATATATATATATATATTCATAAGTACCTACTTTGGTGTTTGGAAAAATGACATATGCGACACAGAGAAACGGAATACATGGAAGAAATAGAAGAATGAAGGCGAGTTGTTTCCAAAGACTTAAAGACTGGAGGAAGCTCATCTCTGATCCATACCAGAGGGTCGTCATGTGCTGCTGACAGTTAGGATGGGCAACAAACTACAATATTACAAATCAATTCAAAAAAAATAAGGAAAATCTTTCAAACTGGAAGGTACATATATACATGTATATTATTATTCTCTAAGGTTGCAACTTCAAAAATTTTACTGACGTTACAGTAACTGGTATTGTTAAAAACCCCACCTAATTCAAAATCTTCGATACAATAGAAAACCCCTATTCAAGTGATCAAATATCTTTATAAGGGCAATATTGGTTTGGGCTTTATTACACATATCAATTTTCATCTAGAGTTGATCCCTTTTCAATGGTATTATTTTGTCCACTAAAACCCTTAACTGACTATGACATCAAATAAAGAAATAATGTTAAAATAAATGAATTATTATGACCGGAAACTTCATCTGGATATGTGCCATAGTCTAGAGTCATCGAAAAGTAGGCTCGGAATTTATTTTAGAAAAAAAATGCTCTATTCATTGATTTTGATGTAATTACATGAATTTGCAAAGCCTCTTAGATTCAATCAACGATTAACTTAAGTAAAAGGATAACATTTTTTTCATAAATATTATCCAAAAAAGTTAAGTTTATTAAACTACAAAGTAACAGGTTCAATGGTAGAGTTATAATTTCCTCCTGTTATTTCTGCCTCGTCGATCAATGTCTACGCAATGCGCAAAAGACAAGACCTGGTCGACCCTTTGAACATAAATCTTTATGCTTTCATCTTGAGTTTCTATCAAAAGTCAATTGAGAAATGAGTAAACCTCCACTTCCTTCAATGAAACGAGGCATCGTTTTGTGTTGTATTATTTGATTTTATAAATTAACTATATTGCAGTCCAGTTGATAATTGAAGACAGATCTTTCTAATCATTGTATTGCATAATATTCCCATTGATATTTTTTCAGAATGATTTTCAAACAAAATTTCTACGATCATAGTAAACAACTTTCACCTTCTTTTCCTGATATCTGATTGCCATTTTAAGTCTTGCCAGAGGCTCCCCACATCCGGTTCCCTCACTAACTACGGCCTCAACTTCCTGTGTACCTCGGCAGAGATCTATCAACTCACAGGCAAAGTTCATACACTGTTCCAGCAGTGCAAGGTATTCATTCTGTAAAACACTGTATCTGATACAATATTGCACCCGAATGTTTGCCACTAGACTTGCAATGTTAATTGTTATTATAATTCATCGTTGGGGCTATTAAAACTGCTATAATTGAGTACATACGTTACAAATTAAATATATCCGTAAACACAAACAGAAAGTTCTTGCAGCAATTTAAACCAAAGTTACTACATTTAGCTACGATTAGCTTTCTTTTCAACCTTGTTAACATCTGCAAAGTTGTTTGATTTTGACATACCACAAACTCAGAAAAGCAATATATGTTTGGAAGTATTTTTTCCTCAAATTTAAGCAAACTGTATCGTTTATATTAGAATATAATGCTGGTTTTCTTATAAAAATTATGAATTCAAACGTAAAATTCATTCCCTTTATTGTAATAAAAGATTCTAAAGTGTCATCCATCTTTGGACTGAGGTCTTTAACGAACAAGTATGCTTTAAAATAGCTTACGATGAAACCCGTTAAAAATATAATAGATTTATATAAAATTACAATTACATTGAATTCTGTTGATGTTGAGATTAACTAAAATTAATTATAATAAATATTCATTGTATTCTCTCGAAATAAATTTTGATAATTTTTTCAGTATGTCTACAAGATATAACACAATCATAACCCTGATATTCCATCGAATCTAAAGGAAGAGAATGTCTTTATACTGCCAAGGTTTAGCATAGCAGAAACAGGAGGCCCAAGGGTAATAGGCGTCTATTTTTATTACAAACCTGACTAAGGTACGTGAAAATTACAATGCTGGTAGAGGACCACTGTTTACTATTTCATAAAATTAAGAAAACGGTTTGCTGTATAGAAGACGAATTTCTAGTAAGAGAACCTGAACAAGGAGGAGAGCCACATGGTCTTATAATCGAACCCAGAGATCATAATGTTTAAAAATTAAGTAATATATGACTTAATATTTCCATTTCTATTTGTTTTCTCTCTGATAACTCTTTGAAATTTAGGAGAGTTGATTTCTTGATCATTCTAAAGGAATGCAAATTTTGCCAAGCGAAAGGTCAGTAGCTAAGAAGGCCTAATATGCATGTAATTCTCGTGCGGCTGTCTTTGTGTTTGACGTCAGTGGGCGGGGACTATTGAAATTGACATGTGAGGCCTCGTGTAATTTAAATCAATTAGTCTACATTTTTAAAATCTAAATTTACATTTTTATTTCAAAATGAAATGGAAATATAAGGAATCACTGTCTAGTTAGTAGAGTATGCCAGGGACATTAACGATAGTTGGAAATGTGGGATAATTTATGCATAACGGGCTTCGCCCGTTATGCAAATTATCCCACGTTTCCAACTATCGTTGATGCCCTGGCATACTCTACTAACTAGACAGTGATTCCTTAATTGGTTAGCACAAAAACAAAGACTTTTTGTGCTCCAGATGTAAAGAAGAATAATTTCTCAAATAAAATGGATTTTCAATAGATAATTTAGTTAGCTTTATAACCCCTGCACACAGAACATAGATTTACCAGTAAGACATATTTCTGCTCATTTTCGTCAAAGGTTGTCTGATAGTTGTCCAAGAGAACAAAAGAATAGTTTCAATATTAAAATACGACTAACTAAAATATGCGAATACAAATCCCCATCGCGATGGTTTTTATATCCTGTTAAACACAAACATGATCCAGACTGGAATATGTTACATGCAATCCCCTTAGGTAGTTATTAGTTCCCTACCGGTGAAACCGGAGGGGACTATAGGTTTCCTCTAAGTCTGTCCGTCCGCCTGTCCAGCTGTCTGTCTGTCTGTCAGTCTGTCCCGCTTGGTTTTCCGCATTTTTTCCCTAAATGCTTGCAGATATTGAGCTGATTTTTGGTATGTGAGTGTATCTTGACGAGTTACAGAAAAAGTTTGCCTTTCGTTCCGCTTCATTGATTTTTGACGGAATTACGGCCTTTTCAATTTTTAGGGGTTTTCCGCAATTTTCTTCTAAACGCTTTCAGATATTGAGCTGATCTTTGGTACGTGACTTTACCTTGATTAGTTATAGATCAAGCTTGCATTTCGTCGAGCTTCATTGATTTTTGACGGAATTATGGCATTTTCAATTCTTAACGGAAAAAGATTACACTTGCCGGTAGGGGACTAGTATTGCTAATGCAATACTCTCAGAATGCTTGTTTATATAAATTAATCACAGACTAATAGACAGACTTTGATCTGAGTACCTTAAAAAGACTTTAACATTGTACAGTTGAATGTGCGTGAAGAATTTGCCTGCAAAAGTTAAAGCCAGTTATTAAGTTTTTAGCAATCAGACAGATAGAAGAACAGAGAGGACCAGAAATATTATAACCCCGATCTTTGATAGGATAAATGATTTTAATTAAACTCAAAATATGACCAAAAGAAGAAATTGAAGATAAATGAAGGACTATATTGAAGGGACATTTCATTCAGATTGATGAACGAGAAAAACAATCAAAGATTTCGTTATATTAAAATATAGAAAATATGTACATAATTAAATAACTGGAACAAAAAAGAACATGATTCCATTAATTAAAACAACATTACATTCTAAATAAAACTGATTTATTCTATGAGCAGTTAAAAAATGAGATTTAATAGGGAACTAGATATCATTGAGATGGTGCCTAACTCAAAGGTCCCCGCTTTCAGCAACAAACATAAAAATGTAAGGTAGCCTATTTTTGACCTTGACCTAGAAACTTTGTTCAAGGTCACTGCACATCCATTGACCAGTGGCACTCTGTGAGTGAAGTATGAGCCACATTGGACCAAGAGGAGAAAAGATATGCTCCGGACAAAGATTGTTCATATAATTCTGCTATAACCTTAACCTTAGACCTAGAAACATGGTTCAAGGTCACTGCAAACCCTTTACCCAAGACACTCTGTGGGTGAAGTATGAGCCAGACTGGGGCAAGTAGAGAGAAAATATTTTTGACCTTGACCCTTGACCTAGAAACTTTGTTCAAAGTCACTGCACATTCCTTGACCAGTGGCACTCTGTGAGTGAAGTATGAGCCACATTGGACCAAGGGGAGAAAAGATATGCTCCGGACAAAGATTTTTCATATAATTCTGCTTTGACGTTAACCTTTGACCTAGAAACATGGTCTAAGGTCACTGCACATCCTTTACCCAAAGACACTCTGTGGGTGAAGTATGAGCCAGATTGGGCCAAGGAGAGAGAAGATATGCTCCAGACAAGAGATCTCGGACGGACGGAATGACGGACGGACGGACGGACAGACTGATCACTATAGGGCGCCCGCAGAGCGGGGCCCTAATAAATGAAAGTGAAAAACCTGCAGTATACAATGTTATCGTTTATTTGTAAATTATATAAGGTCTTCTAACAATTTCCTCTATTAAATGAAAAATGGCTAAATTCCAAGGCTAGATGGGTTTTCGGGAATTCTCCAAATTTCATTGAATGGATGTTCTACGTTCGATCAATTTCTTAAACGTCGCCCACGTGGCGCAGTGGTTAGAGCGTTTGGCTTAGAGTCGAGGAGTAAGGAGTTGATCCTTACTTCACGGGTTTGAATCCCACTTTTGGACGTGAAGACCGCTTCTTAGGACGAGACCGTATAAACCGAGGTCCCGTGTCGCAGTTGCTGCTGGCACGAAAAAGATTCCTCACTGCGCAATGGCCTGTGTGCCGAGTATAGGTCAAAATTTGCAGCTCTCCACCGGCAAGTGGTGGCGTCTCCATATGAGTGAAAAATTCTAGAGAGGGACGTTAAACAACAACAAAAAAACCCAAACAAACAAACAATTTCTAAACAAGGGTATCAACATGTTAAATATCACAGATGAAATACTTCGAGGCAATTCAGGCATGTCTTCCCTGGCCAAGGGTGAAAATCCGCTTTTTGAAAAGAGATCTAGTTAGTCAATTTTTCGAATACTCTAGGGTCGGTACAAGGATTTTGTTCACAAATTCAACCTTTCCTTGGAGCAAATGTTAACTGGCTTTTTCAAAAATATTGCTAGGTCGTTCTTTTATTGCTGATTTGCCTACGGTTCACTTTGTTTACCTCACTAAGACAAAGTGCTTATGGTGGGTGTGAACGATCGACAAAGGATGCTTACTCTTTTATGGTACCCGATCCTATCTTCAACCACTTGTTCTTGTTTGCCCTGCTCTTCATTTTGTATATTTTTATTGGATATTGAGCTTAATCACTTTTTGTTATCGACTGATTTTCATACTGACGCAATAAATGATACAACAAAAAGTTTCTGAATCTTAACAAATTAGATATATATTCCAAAGACCGGAAAGCCAAGACAGCTGTTTCTAAAAGGCTTCCGATTAGTCAATTAAATGTTGTTTATAAGTTAGCAATTGGTTGTATTACTGAGAGAATGAAAACGTTCTTAGATACATTAATGCATGGCCAATGTGATATGAATTTCATAATTGTGGTATAGAATTAATTGCCTAGTAAGTTTGCTTTCAAAATTTCCATGTGTCATGAAAAAGAATTGTAATTTTGTAATAATGAGTTTGTTCATATTGACTCCCATCGTATAATCATAATCACAGTTTGCGAAAAAGTTTGTTTGTTGTGTAATAATTTAAAAAAAACAGCAGCCAAAAATTTGATTTAAAAAAATAGCAGCCAAAAATTTGTTTATTTATTTCTTTAAGCCAAAAGCTCAACTGATTTTAAACACAATGAATTAAGTGTAATCTTGTGTTGAAATTAATGTAAAGCATTATGATATTTTCGTTTTTGTGGATACAGATAGTTAATAATAGTGTTGTTTGATTTTAAACATTATAAAGTCTGAAGCATTGGAATTATCAAATACCTTAATTCTTACTTGTATTGAAGAACTAACATTCGTAAACATGGTTATTCAAGACAAAGAATGTAATAACGCAAAACATAATAATCGTCCCTCTTTCACTGTGCATGTTTATTACACTTGACTTTACTTTCCTTCACTTAGACAAACTAGGGTTTTTTTTCTCCATACTGATTCATTTTTTAATTTAAAAAAAAAATATATATTGTAATATGGCGGAATGGATTTGAATTCATCATTCCCAAGATGTATATTCAAATTCAAGAAAGTATATAATGTATTTCTTGGAAATCAAAGAATATTTCAGAAAAACAGAAGTGTTTTGCCTTTTTCTAGTTTAAGACCTGTTTTGATTTAGGATGCCTTTAGCGTAAATATCCATGAATCGAAAAACAGTAAAGGCCGTTGAACCAAATTGTTCAGTCCCATAACAATATACTATCCAATTACAACATGCCTTAAGGTCGACATTCTATCTGTTGACTATTTCATAGTGTATTTGAGGTCGACATTGTGGTATTACATCTCTGAGGAATCTGATCCACTTTATCTGAATTAGTCAGGAAATTGTCGGAAAATTGAATTAAACCTGACCCTATATTTTGTATAATCTGCTGTATTTGATCTCTAAATTGCCATTTTACAAAAAACCTATACCAGGTCTGGAATAGAATCTGTCTGTTAATCTTGTTTTTCTTTATTTGTTCATATTGAATGGACATATTTTGCAACTATCTACGTATTTTTTAATAATATGGATTGCGTGGATCTCATATAGTGTCAAATGAAAAGATCCAGATTCGTTAAATCTAGAATCTTCTGTGAGAGAGAGAGAGAGAGAGAGTTATACCAGAATTAAACAATATGGTATGCTATACAAATGCTATACTTAAACGAAACATGTATTCAGTTATACGTAAAATTTTGTATAAGTGAATTGTCAAATGAGTAAAATGTTTATTTCACATCACAAGAATTTGAAATATACTCACTTTGAATTCTTTCTCCACCTCTGCCAGTTTCATCATCTCCTGTCGAAGTTCAAAGGTCGTCATAATTGGGTCAGGACTAGAAAGTGCCATGTATGCCGGGCTAGCCAGAGCCCGATATGCATTCAAACGTGATCGAGACCGTTTCAAAGCATCATAGTTCTGTTTCGTAGCACAGTCCGTGCACTTACATGATATGCTATGTGGTTTTTCTATTTTGTGATTCCTAGACAAAAACATTTGAACAATTTCATGATTATTGTAGTGAGCAGCTAAAATTAAAGGTGTAATGTCTGGAGGAAATTGACTTTTCTCTTCTGTCCTGAAAAAGGCTTCAGTTACTCCAAAACTTTTGAACCTGTCTTCACCCGCCATAAAGTTAGGATGTTCAATAATTAATTTAACGATTTTCGTTGCTCCTTTACTAATTGCATGAAGCAGTGCCTCCTCTATGCAGTTAAAGTTCAAGTTATCGATGAGGATCTCAATAACGCCGATCTTCTCGCTGTCAATGGCAAGATGAAGGGCATTTCTCCCCATATAGTCCACACAGTTGACGTTTAGGGCTCCGTCCGGTTCCTCCAAAGACTGACGGACGATCCCCACATCCCCCATCGAGGCAGCATTGAGGTATACCCTCTCTTCGTCTGTAAGCTGATTAAAAATAACAAACATTTCTTAGTTATAAGTGAACTAAAACTATTAAAGATATTATTTATTAAATAAAATTAAAACAGGCCATTTAACTTTTCAGGATGGCTTGTTAATTTTTCCACACATTTTTTGGTGACAGTTTTCAATAGATCGCAAAATGTTGCGCATTTTCAGAAACAAAACAGCTTTTGATAATTTTTAGCATTAAATAGAAGCCCTCTAGTTAAAGTTCGGAATGGTACCTAGCTTGTTCTATAACATGCGACAAAGGAATCTGCACAAAGAAAACGTAAATACATGTACATCAAGTTTTATTCTTTTTTTCTTTATAATTATTATTTTGGCTACAAGGAAACATGAATTATTAAAAAAGGTTGTAGTTATGGTTTGTGACATATATATTCAGAGGAAGTAAAACATGAAAATAACGAATAGCTATCAATCTCATTAATCCAGTAAGCAAAATGAATCGTGAATAGGCCAAGAACACGGACCGTTAGAAACACCAGAGGTTGCATCAGTTGCAAAGTAGGAGTTAGCATCTCCTGTCGACCGGTCAAACGCTATGAGCAATCTGTATTGATAAGGTAAGTGCAGTATTTTGATAGGTACTATTATTACTATTGTTTGGCGTTTGTTTTTATACTCAACCTGATCAATACATAGGGCTTACGGCGGATGTGACCGGTCGACAGGGGATGCTTACTCCTCCTAGGCACCTGATCCCACATCTGGAATTTTGTGGGTTCCGTGTTTTATGCCTTGTTCACAGATTTGTATTGTTTGTAGATTTTTTAGATTGATCACTGTTCGTTGTCTTCACCTTTTTCATTTGTTCATTGTCTAAATTGTAAGGAAGATAATTTTTAAATAAATAATGAATTGAACAGGAATTATTATTCTGGGGTCTTATGACCATTTAAAACTTATTTGCAAATTAAGTACGTTAACATTATACATATATATAATCAACATAGATCACTTTCCTGGGGTATATTTTTTGATCCAGGTAACAGAAAATTCTTCAATGTTGGTGAAAAGCTTACTGTTCAATATAATTACAGTTTACAAGATGTCCAGGAAAGGGATATCTTTAAGATGTACTAGCAAATCATTTTTATCAAAATTAATCTAGCCCTATCCTTTGGAATGAATGCATGATCTACATGGCATTACTCTTTTCTTTTCTGACAGAGGATCCTTTTACGTATTATTGATTATGTGCTAAATGTTTAGGGGTTAAAATGAATATTTTCAGAGTTAAAATGTGAATTTCAATTAAACATTTAATTCTCTTTTTGGATGTCGTCGGTCCTATAACAGCACCTGACCGTGCCGTCAAATTGAATACTACTGAATAGCGCCGTACGATAATTTGTCGGCACGGACAGGTTCTGCTTATGCTTATATTTACATTCTCTAATTTTCTCTAAATATGCGTTTTTGTACGATTCGTGAACAGACGAAAAAAAAAACAAGGACCAAAAGAAACACAAAAGGTCGGATCAGTTGCCTAGGAAAAGAAGAATAAACACCCCCTGTCTACCTGTCACACCCGCCGAGTAATCCGTAAAGGAAAACAATGGTCTAACGTATCAACTTAAAAGGAATGTCTTAATAGATGCAATATGATTCTGAATGAAAAGCATCTTGGTGCTTTTTGACCTTATCCTTTGATTCTCGAAGCAGATATATGCCAGTTTGAATTTTTTTATATTATTGGTTTTAAGCTATATCTTTTTATTTTTATTCTGCAATATAACTAAATATGAAGAGTCTTCGCATAGGGCTATTTTTTCAAATAAGACATGCTTCTGACTAATAAGTTGATGATACAAGGATATCTCCCAAGTTTTGTGATCGATACAATCACCTATTTTGCAAATACAATTCATCACATCCTTAGGTCGAAACTTGACCGTCATTCATACAAATTTTAAGACAATTCTTTTCAGACTGAATTGTCTAAGGATTTTTCCGTTTACCCGATCATGACAGGGGGCACACGGCGGGTGTTATCAATCGCCAGGGGATGTGGGATGCTCAATTGTCGATGGCACTTGATTCCACCTATGTTTTCAGAGGATTGTGATTTCTCTACTTCAAATATGTATTGCTTATTGCGACCTTGGGCAGGATTGGTTTGTTATCTTCACAATGGTGATCACCACAGCTGTTTGAACTACGGACACTTTTGTAAAAGTGGGATGTTTTTATGATTATTTCTAATTTCATGATTCATATGAACGAAATGGAAAAAAAATAGTGAAAGGAAAGGCAGTATACTTTCACAATCATCTTAACTGTAATAGATATGGTACAAAAATAGTAATTTGACAGAATTCATAATTTTTAGCTTGTGAATATTAATGTAACTATTCCAAATTTAAAATGGCATAAAATTCTCAAAGTTTACTGTCACGGTAGACGTTAGCAAAATAAAGACCCCTCACTGCTACGGTTGTAAGAGCCATGCATAAGTCAAAATTTGTAGCCCATAACCTAAAGCATGTGACGTCTCCATATGAGTAAAAAATTCTCTAATATGACGTTAATATGACGTTAAACAACATACAATCAAACAATCAATCAAACGGCCTGTAAAAGTTCAAGATAAGGAAGATCAATCTCATAAATTCATTTAAGAATACGAATTGTGAACAGGGCAAAACACCAGAGGAGAAGTAAGCATCGTCTGTCGACCTGTCAGCTCTGTGTATAGATGAAGTAAACGGAGTAATCGTAGTCAAATGATATAAAAACAATTAATGATCTAAAAATTGGAATATCAGTTAAAATGCAATCCAAAAAACAGGTGGTATTTGCAACCAAGGTCAATGTAACGACCTAATATTTTGCCTCATGTTATAATTGCAAAATGCTGACTGTAAACGAGATAGTTGCAAAAAATTTACGACATCAACTTATTTGTCAGTAGCTTACCCCGGTTTAAAAATTGATTGAATTCAGAACAAGTTCTTGCATATCGAATCAGATGGGCGACATTATTACAATATATATGCAGGGGATTGTAGAAAACATAAATACATAACTAAGGAAATGTGATGATGAAAAAATTTTGTTAGGAATCCGATATCAACTTCCTATTTATCCGTGCGTCTATTCGTACCAAATTTCCGTCACAGTTTTCTCAGCAAGTACACACGGCAGAAGCTTGAAATTTTAGCACACTCTTTGCATGTTTAGGCATACAATATGGTGGGATTTATAAGAGCGTATATTCAAAGAGCGGGGGGTATTATCAGTGAGCATTGGCTCACAGACTTCTTGTTTTCTCTGAACATCGGTATTTCTAGCTTTGATACACGATAAAACAGTAAATCAAGAATTTCTACCTGGTGCTAATTTGTGTCGTTTTCGTTACTTTTTTGAGATCCTGATCTAATGCTTAATATTGATTGTAGTATATCTTCTACTTTTGAGTCCTACAGATAGGTATCAACCTCTGGTTATTCTTTCCTATAAAGCGCTGTTAGATACATCCAAATAATATAGAATAAAATAATGAAAGATTGTATGATTTTTTATCCATTTATCCATCTTTTTTCATCATTCTCAATAAATGACAAATAAAATACAGATTGAATGTTTCACATAGTTCGTTTTATGCCTTGTTCTAGGACAAACACATTTGTCATTATTGAATAAATGAGACGGCATAGAATCATGTACTTCAAGAGTATTCTTTTCAAAAACAAATATCATGCGATATTTGTTACGTTTTAAACTGATAATGTTATCTCGAAAACGGAGCATTGGAAATAGGATTACCAAACATTGTGCAAATTGTTACATAATTTTTATGCAGGATATTGTTTCAGTATTTTACATATTTGTGTCGTGTTTTGATTGAGAGTTAATGACCACTGCAATACGCTATGTTAATACTTTTACACGAAAGTACATGTAACTTTATTATCCATTTTCTCCTCTAAGGACAGAGGACGCCTCAAATGAACATATTATAGATTAAGTGCAGTCTTTATTATGGCTAAAACATACATATGAAGTTTACCTCTAAAGTCAATGTTTCAGAATAGTCATGAAAAATACTTGAAGAGTCTTTTCCAGTGAATACACTCTGTTTCAAATTATATGATCACACAATGTAAATCAATCATAAATACATAAAATACTTAATATCTAGAAAAGCTTAGAGGACCTTTTTGGTAATTTCATTTTTTTTTTTTTTTTTTTTTTTTTTTTTTTTTTTTTTTTTTCTCAGTGAATTTCACAAAAACGATATGCAAGTAAAGAGTTTGGGGGGAATGCAAGAAAAAGGAAAACTTGATAAATATGTCTTTTAGCAATAGCATTGCCAGTACAAACTGTTTTACATTTCTATAGCATATTTTTAACACTATGTCATTCAGGAAGGAAATAGTAGTCTGCATTAATTTTTTGATGTGCAACCATTTTTTATTGATCTAAAGACATCTACAATGTCATTACATGGAACAAATGTGAAGAAAAAGATGTGTTCGCAAAGAAAAAAGCCAAATAACATATCAAAATCATGGTTTCAATACAATTCCGATATCGGAAAACTTCACATGCAAACAAACAAATGATTCATATTTGATGCGATACATTTTAGCTAACAACTTCTAAAGTTACAAGACAATGGGGTTTTTTTTAAATTTAATTTGTCGAAATTAATAACTCGTACAGAAACCATGAACCCCAAATAAAAGACACTACAGAGTCTGCTACAGCTGTTTCATATTTGGATGTTTTACTGACTATAGACGAAAATTGTCAACTAATAACTAATTGTATGACAAACAGGATGACTTCAACTTTTCCATCTTTAACTTCCCTTATTAGTCCCCTACCGGTGAAACCGGAGGGGACTAAAGGTTTTTATGTAGTAATATTCCAACATCAACTATATAATTTTTATGATGTTTATGTCTTCCAGTTGATGATACGCAAGAGCATGCTCTTAGTTCGATTAATTTTAATCCGAGGAGAGCTACTGAAAAAATAAGTTGATGTTACAAGGATTTCAACAGCTTCCTTAAAAGTCAGCTTTTGGTGAATTCAATGGTCGTTATAATGACATTCGGTCCTATTTTAACTGACATGTTTCATGCCAATTGTTAGGTTATTGTTTTATACTAAATTTTACAACGGATTCGTCTACCTGATCCGTACAAAGACTCACTGCAGGTATGAACGGTCGACAGAGAATGCTTACTCCTCCTAGGCACCTGATCCCATATTTGATGATTCCACAGTCGGTTTTTTTTTTCTTGTTCAGGATTTGTCTTTTTTAGTGGATTTATGAGACTGATCACTATCATAAATCTTCACCTTTTATATTGGAAATTTCACTCGCAAATAAGTAACTAGACTGAAGATACAGGACTTTAAATATCATTGTGGATTTTATTTATTTAATGAAAAGGGTGGCGATATCTCAAAAACACTATAAACAGGGAATAAAACAGTGCCCTTCTGAAAACTCCAGAAGTAAGATCAGGTGTCTAGGAGGAGTGAGCATCCCCTGACGACCGGTCACACACGTCGTGAGCCTTATGTATAGATCAGAGAGACGGAGTAGTCCGTAGACAAATTTAGTATAAGAACAATGGTCAGACAATAGGTGTGACACATGTCAGTAAGAATACGGTTGTATTTTCAAACAAGGTCATTATAACGACCATCGATTTTTCGAAATTCTGACTTAAATAAGGTTGTTAAAATCTCTGTAACATCTCTATAACTTATTTGTCAGTAGTCTGCCTTGGTTTCAAAAATTGACCGTATTCAGAGCACGTTCTTGCGTATCAAATCAATCAGTTAGAAGACATAATCACAATATTCAGGTCATAGCGGAATACTTATAAATAAGGAAAGTTGACAATGGAAAAGTTGAAGTCTTTTCGTTAGTCCAACAGCTTAGTTGTAAGTTAGTCAGCATCGTCTAAAGTCGATAAAGCATCCAAATATGACACATGCTAGAATGTGGTAGATTCTGTGGTGTCTTACAGTGTATGTTTCAAGTTCACTGCGATATATTATACACCTATTTACTGGCTATGAGGACAATAGCAAGTTTATTGCCCAACAAGACAGCAACTATTTCCCTACGCTCAGCAGAGGGAAATACTTACTGTCCGAGGGGATACTAATTGTCAGAATAGTCAGTAAATAAGTCTTCTATTATATCAAATCAGACTTCACTTATGGCACGTCACGATCCGAATAAAAACAGAAGAGTTCCGTCATGAAATGGAATGCTGCCGGTAAATATTGGATGACTATTTCACCGGGGGGGGGGGGGCTGTTTAGAAAAAAATAACAGGTTAATTCGTCATATTTTTTTATAGAAAAACTTCACAGAGGTATAATCAAATTACTTCACAGAGGTATAATCAAATTACATGTGTATATTTAAGAGAAATAGGATAGTAAATCTGATATTTTCAAAAACAAAAATGAACATTTCAACGACATAGAAGAACAATGGCAAACAAAACATTTTTATAGATTTTGAGCTCATTCATTCAAAGATCAAAATAGTTTAGTTTTTTTTTTAATGATTATATTTTTAATATTGGTAATTCATATTCACTTCACCAAAAAAAAATCAGGTTTTCCTACTATTAACGTTATTTGCGCTAATAATACTCATGAGAATTGCAAGATAACATATTGTATAAAAACATATCAGGATCACTTCCTTATTTGTCAAGTGCGATATCATATGATTCGTGAACCGTAAATTCGTGATTTTGATGTGATTGAAAAACAATCTGATTGAAACAATTATTACAACACGTCCCATTTAACATGTATATTATCACTTCTTTCTCTGTTCATTTCTTTATTTTAAAAAAAAATGTATTTTTAAGGCACTAGTCGTGTTCTCCATGATTGGGCTTCCAATGTTTTTGTGAACAGATAGGATTTTTATCCAAATAAATGCCCCTAAATGTGTGTTTTTTAACTCGATGAATTAATAAAATTCATATCCAGACACAAACACAGGAGATTCTTCGTCATATGTTTTAGCTAGTGTTAATGAGATTAAACCCTTTCTCGTCTTTCCGTCTGCCTCATGCCGCATAACAACGCCAACGATACGACGTTATATAAAATAGTGCGTCAGGAGATAAAGACAAAGATGATGAACTAAGAGTAATATTTGATGAAATGAATTATTTGATGAAATGATTTTATCTACAAGATTTACATGAGATAAATATTTTATATAGGTATGTCATAAATACAGTACTGCAGGGCAGTAAGAGATTTTTGCTTTTCACAAAAGAAAAGTTACAATGATATCAGATGCTCATCGAATTTTAAACTCGTATTGGACAGGTATAAGAGTAGTTTTTTTTCTTTATAGCTACAAAAATATCAATATAGTTTCTACAAGAATTAAATCTTTTTGAAGGATGTACAATATACAATTTTCCTTTACAATCTTGCTGTAAAACTTGATAAAATTAAATAAAGAATTTTTCTTACCTGAACTTCTTCAAAGTTTGTAAATAGAGATCCCTGGGACGGCATGGCTGACGCCCGCTTATGATCCGCCGACCCGTAATCCACACCCCTGTGGGAAGGAGAATTATATGGAGAATTGTATACGACACAAGGTAAAAATTTATTTGACATTGTTCTGTATTAGAAAATGCTATACAATCATCCCAGCTATCAAAAGTTTCTTCTTCAACATAATTTTGCAAAATGTCCATAATTCCAACTTAAATTCCACGTTCATTCTGAGCTGCAATGGCTATGGCAATTTTCCCCCTCTTTTTCTGGTATGACTTTATTCCAAGTTCGGAAATTACTCACGCACACGCGTCGCTGCTCAGTACAGAGCACTGAAACAAGACACTTGGAATATTGACCAAAAATGATCTCGTATTATAAATCATAAGCGCAATAAATCGTAAATTGTGAAATTTGAGGACTTGTCAGGCATATGATTTGAGAATCGAGCGAGTATCGCAATTTTTCCACAACTGTCAGATACACTGATTGCTTGTTATCCACGCTAAGGATAATAAACTCTACCCCTTGATTTCTTCCAAATTCCCTCCTCCTATAACTTTCAGAATTGGAACATTGAAAATCTTGGAGTGTTTTTTATGACAACAAAAAGCTTAATTAGAGCTATTAACACTTCGAGCAATCATCGTCTACATTTTGTCTTCAACCTTTCCTAATTGATTACTATAACGTCATAACTTTTGTTTTTGCAGTCCAAAATATAACAGAGTCCAGTGATAAAAATATTTCTCAATGTCTATGATTTGATCATTCTCCAAGTTCAGACAAAAACTTTACTTAGGAACTTATAAATATATACTAGGTAAAAAGCCCCGGAATGTTTTAGAGGGCACGTCTACGGCAAAACCGTTCAAAGTCGTCTGGAAGCTACATGTAGGTTCACCAATTTTCATGAAACTTTGTTTATGGGTTACACAAGTACACCAACGTACTATAATTCTCAATATATTTTTCCAGTCAATCGAATATGGCCAACAAACGAAGCGCCATCTATTATTTGTCCTTTTCAGCCAGATTTCTGAAGAAATGTCCCTATTTTCAGCAATAATTTTTAGTATTTTTGAAAATCTTTTATAGGTAAACCAAGTGTGTATGAATAGAAACAGCATTCTATCAATTGCAATATTTTTAGACGTTACAAATACGTGTAGGAAGATAGCTCTAAAAAAGAAAAGTTGGCATTTTGCCAATATATCACAAAATATGAGTAACGCTTTGATTTACAAAGTTATTTAACATGTAAATGTTGCGAACTTTATTTATATTAAAATGAAATATGTTTTTACTAAAAATAGATCAGTGTAATTCAAATTTTACATCACTTTTGATGTTTTTGAACAAACCTTTGAATCAAAGATCAACTAATGTTAGTTCAAAAATCTCTTTTTCCCATTTTGCATAATTTTACCACAGACACACTTTCAAACCCGTTGATTGAATATTCAGTTAATGGCTAATATTCTAGAAATAGTTATGTTCATTTTTCCCCATAGATTGAATTTTAACAATTTCAAATACTGGTTAAGGATTGAGTATCAACATTTTATTCAGTTTTACTTTGGTTCTTACTCTAATATCTCCAAACTTTACAAAATTAACCTTAACTGATTTTTTTCTATGTTTTTTTTTTTTTGGGGGGGGGGGATTCTCAATTATCGATAATAGAAATAGGAAGTGTAGTTCAGTTTGAAATATTTCATGAAGGTATGAGCTGATACTCTTTTACAAAGCAAATTCAATAAATAGTGTTTAATTAGCGCTTCACGAGAAATATGTCTGGATGACACGTTATCAGGTCAAATCTTCGTTGAAATACATGTACATTACTGATATTTACATATCAACTATTCCAGCACACAGAAATTGACAAACTGTTTAGGGTTACTCCCTAATTTTAACCTTAAGTAGTGCCACCTGACTTCTGTATTTTTCCTCTTAAGTTCATGAGGAAGTGAACTTCAATTTCAAAGAAATATTAAAGAGAATTGACATCTCATGAAAATATTTAGGTCAGACTTTGTGGCATTCTTTCTAAGAAGAATTTTCATCTATTTGGCAAATTTTTTTTATTATCATTATTTATTAAGATTATCCAAGTATTTCACATGTAGTTTTAATTTGTGAAATGTATTTTAAAATTCTTTAACATTTCTCTGTTTTTCAGTTTGGGTAAATTAAGTCTGAATATTTCATTATTATCTTTATATCTATGGCATGTTCGGGGGGGGGGGGGGATTCTAGAAATTCCCATTTTCATATTAAAAGCTGTGTTCTTGTTCAAGCAAATGCATATCAATGCACTCTGCATGCAAAAATATTAGTATTGCACCTTACGACTCATGATGAAAGTTTAATGTACTAGAATATCTTTATTTCATAAGAAAAACGCTGAAATATTCCTTGACAACAGAAACGTATGACGCCTGCAGTAAAATTGAAAACAAATATTAAATACATTTAAAAAGATTCAGAGCAGCTGTGGCCCATTGTGTGGCCCATTGCGTGCATTTCAAAAGATACATCTTAAAAGTCTTTGGAAATCCAACACGTTTTCTACTTCAAAGAAAAAGGAGTTACCTTCAGAACAAAGGGTACATAATATTATTGAATTTATTTCACATCAGTCACGTTGTGTACCATGTACAAGCAACTATTTTTGCATCAAAATTGAGAAGCTGAAAATTTCTAGCAAGATATATTTAGATTAAGGAGTGGAGTGGACAAACATCAGAATGGAAGGTTTGCATTGCTGCTCAAGGCCTTTTTAAAAATCGTTCTGCACCACGGTGGAAATCTTTGTAACATTGTATCACTTCGTGTGTTTTAAAGAATAAATATCTGTAGGTTACAAGTTCATCTTCTGAATAAACTGTACAAAAACACATGTTCCTTTATCAAAAAATACTATAGTAAACTATAGTTTACTATTTAAATTAACTATAATTTACTATCTTATCAAAGGTTTTACTATAGAAATCAAAGTTTTTACCAGATTAAATCATAGTTATTTTGTTATGAATTTCATATTGTTACATTTTATTTTCTCAAAGTCTAAATATTACTTGCATATCACAAATTATTTCTAAAATCTACATCATAGGTGTGTAATTAAAGAGTTATTAAAGCCCTAAGTCTAAAAAAAATAATTCTAAATTAAAGTTTCATAGTAAATCATATATTGTTGTTGCTATAGTTATATATAGTTAACTATCGAAAAAACAGTAAATGTTTGCTAGGTTGTACCTTATTTTGCCCATCTGAGCCAATTATTCAAGAGGTTTTCTTATGGAAGAGAGTCCAGTGTCTGTTGTGTATCGTCTGTAAACTTTTCACATTTTTAAGAATCTTCTCAAGAACCACTTGGTCAGAAAAGGCAAGACAAAGTAAATGCTTTCTTTATAAAGTCCAGATTTTAGTTTCTTCAATTCATAGTCCCTGGGCTAGAAATAATCTGTAGTATGCGGTCAAAGGTGTAGGAACTATCTTTTAAAATCCTCTCAGGAATAACAAGGCTACAGTTAGTCAAACTTTGTATTAATATACGAGCATCCTAATATAGTGTGGATTTAAATTCTTCGTTCAAATTTTGACCCCCATGGCTAGGGTGGACCACAATTTAGAGTCATTTTTGAAGATTTGAGAACATATAGTTTTTGCCCCGTGTCGTCTGTCTGTCTGCTTTTACGCAAAAACTTTAACCTTTAACCTAACTTCATAGTTCACATGTGTATTCCTTGTAACAAGACCTTTCTTTGTGTAACAACATATTTTACCTTTTACCTTGACCTTGGAGCTTAAACACTTTGGTAAAAATTTTACCTTACTATAACCTTGTCAATAACTTTTGAATGGTTTGCTACTAGGGCTTTCATACTTCACATGTGTAATCCTTGTGATAAGATCTTTTCTTAGATACAAAAAATTTTGACGGCTTGACCTTTACCTTGGAGTTTGACCTACTTTTGAAAAACTATAACCTTGGCCATAACTTTTGAACAGTTGGTGCTAAGGCTTCATATTTCACATGTGTATTTCTTGTGACAAGACCTTTCCCTCGGTACCAACAATTTTTACCCTTTGACCTTGACCTTGGAACTTGACTACCTGTGAAAAACTATAACCTTGGCCATACTTTTTGAACAGTTTGTGAATCATATCTCACATGTGTATTCCTTGACAATCTTTCTCTCGGGTACCAACAATTTTTACCTTTTTACCTTGACCTTGAAGTTTCTTTCCTTAGGTACAACAATTTTGATTTGTTTATCTTGATCTTGGGAGTTTGACTTGCATTTGACAAACTTTAAGGTCAAAATCAACAACATAAAATCTTACGACTTTTCAACTTTATATACAACCATTCCCCACGATAAATTAAAGTCCAGGCTTTTTGAAACCATTGACAGCTGCTTTTTCAATAAAAATGGAACTAGTAAATTTACTTACGTTGTCATTGGTCATTTGCAAAATTACTTTGTTAAAAAACAATCTGATTGTACACACAAGTAATCTGAAGTTGATATTAAAAGGATGCTTGAGTTTCTGATTGACAATATCTATGTGGTTTTTGGAGACCAGGTCTTCCAACAATCTATTGGAATTCCCATGGATACCAATTGCGCCCCGTCATTAGCAGACCTATTTTTGTATTCATATGAAGCAGAATTTGTTCAAAATCTTATATGTGAAAAGAAGAAAACACTTGCTGTGGCCCTCAACTCTCTATCTAGATATATCGACGATGTACTGTCAATTATTCGACACGCAAGAACATTCTCTAAGTATGAACAATCTCTAAAACGAGGTAAGTTATTGACAAACAAGTTGATGAAACAAGAATATCAGCAGTCTCGTTTAAAGTAATCATTTCGAAAGTTCTATGGTCGATACAATGACTTTGGCAGCAAATACAATCTATCATTAAGTCAAATGCTGACTGATGTTTTTCATACTAATTGTTAATCTTGGACCATTATTTACACACTGAATTGTCGACGGATTTTTCCGTTATTTCCCGAGCACGACAAGGAGCACACG